ACAGGGGCAATGAATTTCAAAATTTTTACTCCTCATCACCCATAGATGCTATATGCCAAAATTGATTGAAATTGGTTCAGTGGTTCCAGAGAAAAATCTAAAAATGTTCAAAAGTTTACGACCGATTGACGACGTACGAAAACAAATAGCAATAGGTCACCTGACCGACTCAGATGACCTAAAAAATTAAAGAACAGCAGGACCATATTTACTCAGGTGAGCGTTGTGGCCCATGGGCCTCTTGTTTGCGTTTTTGTTTCTTCAAAATTAAAAGTAAGGCAATCCAAGAAATTGGCCTTGAAATATATCTGAAAAATACGTGATGTGTTGTGCTCTTTGAGAGCCGGGAAAACTTTGTAGAATACACTTCTATATCCCTGCTGAGGTATGACTCAACTAGAATATACGTTGTAAATTCTATCCTTGGTGTCTTCATATCTATACAGTATAACAGGGATTATCCATTTATCATATACTTAAGGACATACGCAACGTAGTTTGAACATTATTGTCTTTTTCCCTGGAGTTGAAGAGTTCCAATACGTAAAGGAACTGTGTGCTACATTTTAATATCTACATATGCTATTGTACACTTCTTATAAAACAAGTTTGGATAAACAAATCATCCAGAATATATGTGTAGTAATTTTTGTATTTTTTTCTTTGAATTATACAAGAATTTTCATCAATTGATATCTTTTCAAAACCCCTGGTAATGCATGCTGATTTTTTGTCTACGAACATCTGATGGCACTATAATCTTAAATTAAGAATATCTCGAAAAATTATCAGTAGGTAAGGTACGTTGCGTATGTCCTTAAACACAATCAATTTTATCGGCCATAAGTTAGTAAGACTTTTTTTTCTGTATCATAAAATTTAGAAATACAGGAGTTCTTCAATACTGATAACTGCACATGGAGACATTCATATATTGCAATTTACAATTTTGCCTAAATTAACTATATACACGAGTGTCTGGTCAACTGATTTTGTTACTTTTTGATTTAAGTGTTTCTATTGCATTTTGAAATTGACGACGTTATTGCAGATTGAAAAGAACATTCGTAGTTGTATCTTATAATGAACATTATCACCAGAGACAAATCTACCTATATATATATATATATCTATATCTATATCTATATATATATATATATATATATATATATATATATATATTCTCGATTAAAAAATCATTTGCCAATTTTTCACATTTATACTTTTTCTTTGGCAAATGTATCTAATATTCAAGCGTAGATCTAAAGTTTGATAGTGACAGGTTCAGCGGAAACTACCTGTGGTAGATTGTTTAATTTCTGGAAGTAACAAAAAGTCTAGACATGATACTAGAGTAATAAGACATGAAACTTTAAAGGTAGCTAGTTACCAGCGATGTGTCGACCCCGTAACAAGGTACTGGTGGTTGGACAAACTTAAGGTCACGTAATAGAAAAAAACATCTTAATTTTTCATGTTTATCCGAGAAGAAAGATTTATACAAAAGAAAATGTAATAAACAACGCTCAACGCTGAAAACATGAAGTGTGAATAGGGACAGTCAATCTTCGTTATCTCGAACTCAATAGGACCAAGAAAAAATTCGAGATATCCGATGATTCGAGATATTAAGGGTAAAATACCTAAAAAAAAACTTGGGACTACAAAATCACTTTGGCATATTCATGGTGTTCAAGATATCCATGTTCGAGATACCGATTGATTGATTGCTTCTTTGTTGATTTACATCTTGTTCAAGAATCCTTCACTCATAAAGAGACGTCACCATATATACCGATGAAGGGCTTCAAATTTAGACCTTTACTCGGCACTCACGGCCATTGAGTAGTGAGGGTTCTTTATTGTGCCAACGCCTACCGTGACACGGGGGCCTCGATTTTTAAGGTATCCGCCCAAAAAAGCTTCAAATTCAGCGAATCTGAATGCATAACACTGGTGCATCAAAATTGGTACCGCATAGGATTTACATAACAGATATGTATGGACTGAATTATCTGTATATTTAGACTTAATTTTCATGTTTTAGTATCAGTGAGTGGGAGGGGATTTTGTTCTAATTTTCGACCTTGACCTCTCCTTGAAGAGTTAACCCCTTTGCAATCTTCAATAATTAATTACTGCTTAGGTAATTATATTTTTGAAAATTTCTCTTGGTAAATCCTTTTCTACTCTCAAATGCTTTGAATTATTATTAGAGTATCTAATACATGAATGATATTCAAATTCTAACCTAACTAGAAAATTAGGTACTAGTATGGGTCGGATACTTTAAGGTCTCATCCGAAGGACCCGCAACTTTCACTTCAAAGTGCCGAGCGCTTGGCGAAGGAACAGTTGCTACCTATTTTTTACTCAGGTCAGTCGCGGCCGTGATTCGAGCACACGACCTTTTGAATAATGTGTGATTGATGATTGTGTGTTGTTTCACATCCCGTTCGAGAATTTTTCACTCATATAGAGACGTCACCATATACCGATGAAGGTCTTCAAATTTAGACCTTTACTTGGTACTCACGGCGATTGAGCAGTGAGGGTTCTTTATCATGCCAAAGCCTACCGTGACACGGGGCCCCGGTTTTTAAAGTCTCATCTGAAAGACCCGCAACTTTCACTCCAAATTGCCGAGCTTGCGAAGGAACAGTTCCTACCTATTTTTTATCGACTTAGGTCAGTCGCTGCCGTGATTCGAACACACGATCTTCCGATCACGGAGCGAGTGCTCTACAGACTGATCACAGAGCGAGCGCTCTACCTACTGGGCTACCGAAGTTAAACTGCATTTTAAAAAGAGATTTGGTTACATTTTATCCAACTTAATTGTATAATAGTGAAAACTGAAACGTTATATCTTGTCTGTTTATCGTAATTTCTCCACGTGCCAGACAATCCAGCAGTATACTTTTTTGAATAATTTACCTGATCAATTAATTGGCTGTCTCGCTGTAGTCTCGCCATAGTTACCGAGAACTCCTCCGGTATTTTAATTTGCTGAACACCGATAGATATACACAAGGTTCCGAACATATCCGCATGTGTGACAGATGGCACCTTATTTCTTAAATATTTTTCTTTCTAACTTTTTTTAAAAGAACTATTCACGTTCTTTTCAAGGGAATATTATAATTACGACTTAAAAACAAACTTGCAACTGCTCTATATGAAGGAAGTACAAATCTTAGATGTTGGTAATTTTTTGATCACTGTTTAGTTTGTTTGTTTGTATGTTGTTTAACGTCCCTCTCGAGAAGTTTTCACTCATATGGAGACGCCAAACCTTGCCGGTGGAGAGCTGCAAATTTTGTCCTATACTCGGCACTTACGGCTATTGAGCAGTGAGGGATCTCTTTCGTACCAGCACCTACTGCGACACGGGACCTCGGTTTATACGGTCTCATCCGAAGGACCGGTCTCCACGTCCCACAGTGGGATTCGAACCCGCTACTTAAAGCTGAACAGTACTCGTAAAAGGCATTGTCCGCCATATTTCTATTTCATCAGCGCTGTCCCAACAACCCCTATATAATCCGCAGACCTCTTAACAGTTCAAAGTATTTCGCTGTAGAGGTCTCACCTGAGAAGACGTACATCTTACACTGCCGTGTTACTCGTTCGCGATGGAATTATCAAATTTTACACACTTTTTCCGAGCCAAGAGAAAAGTAACATCAAATATACAAGTCACTGTATTATTTACAGACAGAAATTGCACATAAAACAAGGAATAAACTCAAAAAAATCTAAGACCACGAAAGGAATACTACATTTCGGTCATGAGTTTCAAGTTTGCAATCAGGTGTAACGAAATCGAAGGGTTTATATACTTGTGTGACGGTGCCTATTTATGAGTAGTGTTCAGCTTTAAGGATCAACTCCTTACTTCGCGACTCTAGAGCAGACGCACTAACCACTGCGCCACGCGGGCGACGATCACTGTTTAGAGAGCGTGTTTTAATTCAAATGAGCCATTGGTTAAAGAATGCCTTTTTGATTGAAGTTTTTTTTCGTAGTGGTATATTTGTCTTTTGTAAGTATATATCTTGCGTAATGTAATTTTTTTTTTTTCACTTTTGACTTTTCCGCAACCACAATACCAATTTTGGCCACATTATCACAAAGTATCCTTGGTTGAAGGGATTTAAATTTGTTCAATTAAAAGTCCATGTTTTTTTTTTTCTACGAGAGAATAGTCAAGAAATAGTGAAAAAATTCTTTTGAAGAACCATTTGACCAGAAAAAAGAAGGGAAAGAAAGATTTTATGACGGCCGATTACAATTTGTTCAAGGTATGGTCCCAAGTGCTTGCCCAATGGATAGTGCCACAATACGAGGTGTTAAAAAACGATCATAGTGATATACCGTACTTGAAGTAAAATAATTGGACATACAAAATACAATACAGAAACATTCCGTAGAGAAGAAACTTCTCCGGGGTAATACACTACCTACAGAAATATTATTTTAAACAAGTACAGTTGACACGTGTTTGCCAAGTTAGGGTCATGGCAAACAAATTAAATGACATGTCTTTTTTATCGCAAAGTTTCTAAAATTAGCCAGTTTTGACATTTATATTATAAAAATGTTAAATAATGTTTAAAAAGTAAACAGAAACCTGACAGCAGATCATTCATCCCGGGGTGCATTTTTTTCAGTGGGAAAAACGAGAAAATGTACACCTGTGCAAGTCAAATAAAACCATGGGTTTAGTTTGGGGAAAAAAATTCTGTAAATACTAGTATTTGTTTTGTATTATTTATTCTTAAGCTTCAAGAAATTAATTACATACGTATTTGATTCTGAAAAAGAAATGGTAAAGTTTATAAAATCTATAGTACAAACCAGAAAAAAATCTTTCTTTTTTTTAAATCGAATTTTATTTACCAATTTAAATAAATATTCTATCTATTATAAAACACGTGTCATGAATGTCAAAACATGCTTAAAATTTATGAATCGCAGAATAATTTATACCTCAAATGTTATGTAATATTGTGTACAGCATATCAATTTACAGAATAAAAAAAAAAGAAAGTCATGAATATACTTATAAATGCTAAGAGTAGTTATTTTTATTGATAAAAATGATAAAATAATTGAAAAATAAGAAATCAATAAGAAAAAAAAAACAACTATGATTGAACCATACAATTATGTAAAAAGTCCTCCGATATATCAACTATCAACCTCCCATTGTAAAGAATATGTACAAAAATTATTACTTTATAATCCCTAAATTGTTATCTACATGTTTTGTCAGATAAATTATAAAGGAGAACTCTGGTCATCATTGGTTTTAACAATCACATTTACATTCCAAGACTCGCATTTTCGCTACATTCCTAATAACCAAGGATCCGTCTCCTAGAAACATGATCGCTTGTGAACCATATTTTGCAGGCTTACAACTCGGGTTATTCGGAACAGTCTTATTTAGTCCAACCCTGTATAATATCCTCAAGAGATAATAATTCGTAGGTTTCTTGTCGAAAAATGAGTGGGTACAGTCCTGTCCTGTCTGCACACAATCTCCTTGACAAGCATTGGCTTGAAAACTCTTCGGAGAAAGGATATATCGATCCCAGTGTAACTGTACAAAGTCTACTGTCCATGGCACAAGACGACATCCTCTTGTTTTTTGGTTTGTCTCTGTTCCACCCGGGCTAGCCTCGTTTTCGCGCAAAGGATTATCCAGGTTTCTCGCCTCTCTGATTGACTGATTGTCCGAGTTTATATTCCCCGCCTGTCTTTTGGGTCTAAATAATCTCAAATTCTCTAATTCTCGGAACAAATTCTCTTTAGTTTCATTCCTGTAGACCACCAGAAATGATTTTTCAGGAGGGTTTTTCATGTGGCAAATGTGAGATGGTAAAACCTTAGCCTTGATGTATTTATTTGAATGTCCTTCCGCTAAAAGATTGTCAAGGTCAAAGAAAACATATCCATAACTGACTTTACCATGTAATTCTGCAACATAAAGTCATGTACATGTGTTACCCGATGGTATATTACTAAATCATGCAAAAGTATCCAAAGCTGTTTCCAATTTACTCTAACAGTTACCTACGATGTCTTCACTAGTCTTGATTAAAAAAAAATGGCCATTTCGAAAGCAATGTTCAGCTCAAAAGTTTTTATTGAAAACAAAATATTATACAATAACGATATCGTATGAAAGTATTCTAAAGTTTTCCTATCTCTAAACAAGTTTTCGTATTTTTCTTTTTTTTTTTAATTATTTGTCACTTGTATAATACTTTTTTGTATACCTATCATCAAACTGTATTTATATCAACTGAATATTTTCTCCTTTATTTCTTACGAAAACCATTGTCATTTATCAGTCAGTAAACAACACTAAGCACAGCACCTGCATAGATTTCTTGAGCAGTGGCTCTTCCATCAATGAAACGTACCAATAATACAATAATCTACTTAATTAATCCTACTATAGATGATTATTTGTACAGATGTAAATATAAACAATAAATGTCTTAAAAGTTTCTTTGTTTGTTAGTATGGGAATTAACGTTGCAGCTGTTGCAGAAAAAAATACAAAACCTTCTTATGCGGGTTATGTATTTTTCTGCAACAGCTGCAACATTAATTCCCATACTTACAACCAAAGATAATATTTTATTGTTTAAGTGAACTTAGTATACTAAAATTGCTTGAATTTTATTGTTACATTTGTATATCTATTCTGTTAGAAGCAGGGTTTTTTTGCATTTTGTAGTAGATCAAAACAAATATTTAAGTATCCATACACCTACAGTCTGGTACATGTTTTTAATCCGGGTGAGTTTACAAATGACTGGCATATCTACAAAGTACTTACTGACGGCATTCCCGGCCAGAACCATTTCACATGTTTGTTCTGAGGAAGAGGCCCAGGTGAGATCAAGCCCTGTTACGTACGGATCAGACAGGACTCCGTTTAGATCAAATCGGTATTCACCATCAATGAAGTCTTAAAAAAAACAGCACGTGTTAGTCATATATCTTGCAAAAGAATATTGATTTTGAAATTAAGAATTCTTTTAAAAAATCTTACCAAGTGGATGAAATGAAATATCATAATCCACTGCTCCATTAATCCTTTCTACAGCTTCTTTCAGCTTGTCAACCAGAGTCCAAGCTGAGCGAGGGACATCCTTCATGGACGGCGTGGACGTATCAAATTCTTCCTCCGAGAATACAACGCCAAATTTCAAAACATGAATGGTACAAAGTACCAGCAGGAATGTTGAAGAATAGTATTGCAAGCTCATGATTCTATGAATGGATGCGCGACAGTAGATTGCAATTTTGGAAATGAATTGTCACTCATGTCAATTTATTTATATACACCTACGATCATACCATATTATTGTGAACTTACATAACCCAAATTCCTAATACTGCAACACGAAAGGGTCAATAGGGTACGTCCACTTTTTTGGGTGCAAACCATTGCCATTCTAGTATAAATGAGAAATGGGTAATATGAAGGTCATATGAAAAAAAAAATATCATATGATTTATTTCTAACTGGGGAAGCTTCTGGATCTTTTATGACCAAACTTCCATAAGGAGTAGGATAGACTACAGGATTTAAGCATTATTCATTTAAGGAATTGCTTAATCTGGTGATAATTAATGTCTAGCATTACATAAGATTGCAACATACAATAGGAAGTTTTTTTTTAAAAAAATTTACAATAATTAAAGAAAAAAGACATTTTAAAAATTTAGTAACTTTAAAAATTATCATAGATATCAGTGTTTAATTAAGGATAAGTATTTGACGTCACAGTGCTTTGTGCATACTTTAATTCCTTACACTTGAAACTGTTCCCTCGCAACACAATTGCAAGAGGATATAGTAATTTACCCCTACGTGAGTCCGTGCATGCGAGCAATGTTTGGGACTCCATTTATGTTTATTATTTGTTTATGGAGCACAAATTGACATTAAGTCTCAAACTTACCACAGAAACAGTAGATGACTAGAGAAACAAGCCTATTCATTTGAAGGTCAAAAGTTCAATATTAGCTTATATTCTCACAATGTTGTAGTCACCCGGATAACATCGTTCAGGTAGGGGGTCTGGGTGCCGCCTTCAGGCCCCCAGTGGGTCCAGGGCGAAGCCCTGGTGGGGGCCCAGGGGCGAAGCCCTCGGAAGCTCTTGGGTTTTCGTGAATTTTAAGAGTAAAACCAGGCACAAAAATAGTGGTATTGATTAGTTATGTACACTATGATATTTCACTTTTTAAAAGAAAAAAAAAAAAACACGCACACACACACCAAAAAAAAAAAAAAAAAAAAAAAAACAAAAAAAACAAAAAAAAAAAAAACAAACAAAAAAAAAACCAACAAAAAAAAACAACGAACAAACAAGATCAGATTTTAAAAATAGCATTTTACCTGGATATACAAGAAGTCACAAAAATCAGAAATGTTTTTCAAAGTACATTGTCATTTAAGAGGGCTGGGTGGTTGTGGCCATTTTCAGACTATATTGATCTCCTTTAGAAGAAGAGTTCCAGATATATAGATATAGAAAAATGATCAAATTTTAAAACTAAAATGTATGAAATTTTTGTTTGCCAAATAATATTTGACAGCAAGATATCATATCTAAAAAATTAAGTTATATCTGATGGTTAATTTGTTGAACCCCCCCCCCCCCCCCCCAGCCTCCTTAAGGTATCCGGCCCATATTAGCCTCAGATTCAATAAAATTGAATGCATAACAGATATGTATGGGCTGAGTACTCAGTATATTTAAACATAATTTTCATGTTTTAGAATCAGTATGTAAGAGCGGAACGTGCCCTAATTTTTGACCTTGTCCTGTCCTTGAAGAGTTATCTCCCTTTGATTTAATTCAATAAAATCAATTCTAAAAAATCTAAAAACTAAATACTATAAATTAAAAAGGTATGAATTAAAGTTGCAAAATTATACAGTTGATAAATTTCACGCCAGGAATATCCACTGTGTCTTTCTATATATACAAGATATTTTTAGAGGTGATAAAGTGATAATTCCCCGAAATGGTTTAAAAATACTCGTCCGTAATTTTTCGGGCGATAAAGTTTCTTCTTGGATGTAATTTTTCCCGCGAAGAAATAAATTTCGCCTATTATTATCGACATTGATTTGTATATGAAAAATGCATTTTCTTTCTGCATAAAATAGATGTGTGTACACTATAACGGGTTATAAACAAAATATTTTTTAAGATATTTATGAACGGTCGAAATTAACCAGGTGGTCGAAGTTACACCATCCTAACCTATATCCTGACGTTAAATTCCATTTATATGGAATTAAAGATTATGAGATGTGTGTAATGAAAAAAGTCTTGTATCTATGTTAGTAAATTACTGCATATTTACACCATTTGATAAATAAATACATCAATCAGTGGACGGGTTTGTAACGTAGACCGTCTGATTTTAAATTCATTTATTTACCTTCGACCAGCCTTTAATTATTGCAGTATTTAGCATCATGATAGGAAATTGACAAGTGCAGTCTACCTTTCAATCGAAATCGGGAGACGTTTTCGGTTTGAATAATAATGAGATAATATTCATAGCCTAGGGAATGCAAGGTTTTCAGACTTGATTTTTAAGAAAACCGATACTTGGTCATTAAATAAAATTATCATTTTTTAATTGACCATTAATTATTTAACCAAAGTATAGCATTATTAATATTGGTCATGTTATACTTTGAAATTTTAGGGGGGCGTGCGCCCCCCCACGCCCCCGCTTAAATCCGCCAGTGGAATCCCTTCACTCAAGGATGCTATGTGGCAAGTTTGGTTAAAAATGGATCTGGAGAAGATGAAAATTGTGAAGAAAAGTTAACGACGACGACGACAACAAGAACAACGAATTCGGACGACAGACAACGGAAAAATTTTGATCAGAAAAGCTTTGGCTCAGGTGAGCTAAAAGTCGTCAAAAGGTTATTGAATACGTGATACAATAACACAAAAGAGAGACATATACATATGTTCAAAATATATAGCTGAAAAATACTGTCTCCTGATATTGAAAATTATCAAACTGTTTAATATTAGTATATCAAAATACTCTTTATTTTTACATGTAAAAACAAGATGTGTTTGTGAAACACTGATGCCCCCGTATGGCAACTTATAGCGAAGGTTAAAGTTTCTCAAATGCAAGTCAAAATCCAGGCGAAAAGATAAAAAAAATGTTAAATTTGAAAGCCCTAGCTGTAACTGTTCAAAAGTTATGGCTAGGGTTTAAGTTTTTTAAAAGTAAGTAAAACATCAAGGTCAAGGTCAAAGTTGTTGGTATCCAAAGGAAGGTCTTGTCACAAGGATTACATATGTAAAGTATGAAAGCCCTAGCACCAACCATTTAAAAATTATGGCCAAGGTTAAAGTTTTTCAAAAGTAGGTCAAACTCCTAGGTCAAGGTCAAAAGGTCACAGTGGTTGGTATCCAAAGGAAGGTCTTGTCACAAGGATAACATATGTGAAGCATGAAAGCCCTAGCACCAACCATTCAAAAATTATGGCCAAGTAAAAGTTTTTCAAAAGTAGGTCAAACTCCTATGTCAAGGTCAAAGGGTCAAAGTGGTTGGTATCCAAAGAAAGGTGATGTCACAAGGATTACATATGTGAAGTATGAAAGCCCTAGCATCAACCATTCAAAAGTTATGGCCAAGGTTAAAGTTTTTCAAAAGTAGGCCAAATTCCTAGGTCAAGGTCAAAAAGTCAAAGTGGTGGTATCCAAAGGAAGGTCTTGTCACAAGGATTACATATGTGAAGTATGAAAGCCCTAGCTCTAACCGTTCAAATGTTATGGCCAAGGTAAAAGCTTTTCAAAAGTAGGTCAAACTCCTAGGTCAAGGTCAAAGGGTCAAAGAGGTTAATATCCCGAGGAGGTTCTTGTCACATGGAATACACATGTGAAGTTTGAAACCCCAAGTACCAACTGTTCAAAAGTTATGACCAAGGTTAAAGTTTTTCAAAAGTAGGTCAAACTCCAAGGTCAAGGTCAAAAGGTCAAAGTTGTTGGTGTCCAAAGGAAGTTCTTGTCACAAAGAATACACTTGTGAAGTTTGAAACCCCAAGCACCAACTGTTCAGAAGTTATGGCCAAGGTTAAAGTCTCATAAAATTTCGCAAAGGTGGGTCAAACTCCAAGGTCAAGGTCAAAAATTTAAAAGTGATGGTACCCAAAGAAAGGTCTTGTCACAAGAAATACACACGTGAAATATGAAAGTCATAGCTCCAATCAATCAAAAGTTATGGGCAAGGTTAAAGTTGACAACAGACAAACAGACAAACAGATAAACAGACAAACAGATAAACAGACAAACATACAGACAGGACAAAAACAATATACCCCCGGGATCTTTCGATCCCGGGGCATAAAAATGGCTAAAAAATCTAACAATTTTTCTTTCTTACAAGTAGACTCGCATTCATTAACATGTGTCCTATGTGGCATCAATTTCATTTTTCCCTATATATGTCCAAAAATATCTTATCTATAGGTTAATTGCACACAATTTCGGCATACCTTGCGGGACAAAATTTGACAGTGATTAGTTTTTTAACAGTAATAAACTTTTATGAAGGTATAATGATCATTTATCTCAGAAAGAGAGTTATCTCTCTTATCAGAGGACCAATGAACCTTAAATGTCACACAGAAAAAAATTTATTGTAAAAAAAAAAGGTTATTTCTAAATGAAATTATTGTGTGATATTGTTCTTTTCAAAATAGCTTTTCAAATTATAAAAAAATGTATAGTATAATCAGTTGAAATATGTTCACTTCTTTTATTGTTATCGCGTCGATTTAAATTGTTCACTACCATACAGCATCAGAATTTAGATGCTGTGACTTAGAATATGTAATAAATACTTTAAGATTAACTCGATTTAAGCAAACTAGTCAATGTATTTCTAAATAATTAGATACCTAAGATCATTGCTGGTCATTAGCAAAATATCATAACAGACCAATTTATAATTTATTACAACATATATATTGCACTCTAAAGTGCGAAAGCCTATTAGGATAAACTACGGTAAAAAAAATTTAAAAGGCGTTATAACGCGAAAAAAAAGCGTAATAACGCCTTTTGAAAAGGCGTTATAACGCGGAAAAAGGCGTAATAACGCAAATAAAGGCGTTATAACGCCTTTCCAAAAGGCGTTATAACGCCTTTCCAAAAGGCGTTATAACGCGAAAAAAGGCGTCATTACGCCTTTCCAAAAGGCGTTATAACGCCTTTCCAAAAGGCGTTATTACGCCTTTCTAAAAGGCGTTATTACGCCTTTCTAAAAGGCGTTAT